ACAGGGTTTCACTATGTAGTTGAGACTGACCTGGAACTCACTATGTAGCCCAGGCTGGTCTCGAACTCACAGCAATCCTCCTGCTTCAGCCTCCCAAGTGCTAGGATTACAGGCGTGCGTCACCACACCAAGCCAAAAGAATTTTCTTATTAAGACATTTTCTTATGATCTGGCATAGTCTTAATTTTATAGTGCTGTTTTCAGGCCACTAGAAAAAAAAAAAAGAGAATGCTATGACAAGGTTATTGTTTAGAAAAGTCCTAAATTTTTTAAGTTTAATTACAATGATACTTTGTTTTTTGAAAATAGCATTTTCCTGCTGCTATGCAGAAATGCCAACCAATAATGCCAAACATCTTGCATGATGGAAATATTTTCTAAAATTAACCAGAGATTATAAAGTAGTCTCTATTATCAATGTGATGATCAGCATTGTAAGGTTTTTCTCCTTAAAATAATCACATAGGGAAAAAATTACTGAAGAATTAGGTTCTTATGCAGCCTTCCACATTGCAATGGGTTCGCCAATTGTTTTACTTTAAACAGCAAAATACTACTTGGGAAAACAAGAAGTCTGAAATGACTCCAATCAATGCAGTTTTTATATAGTTATAAAGGTTTCCCTGAAAAGAATCATTAAAAAAAAAGGGTCAGGGATTTAGACCAGTGGTGGTTCGGCTGCCTGACTCGCAAGTGCAAGGTCCTGAGTTTGATCCCCTGTACCAAATAAAAGAAAAGAAAAAACAAGGGAATGGGGAAAAAATAAGAACCAAGATGGATTATGCAAAGGTGCAAACTTCCAATGATGAATGTCATTATATTGTATACCTTAAATATACCAATAAAACTAAAAATTAAAAAGTCATTTTAGGATTAAACAGGTTCAAAAAAATAAAACACACTTCATAAATTATTCCTCGGGGCTTTTCCATGGTGTACCCTCATGTAAAACATGGTTATTTTCTAAACCTAGGTCAAGTTTCTAAACCTAGGTGCAGGGAAAAAATGGAAAGCCACAGGGCCAGGGATTTAGCTCAGTGGTTCTGCCTCCTGCCTCCTGCTTCCCGCCTCCCAAGCGCAAGGTCCCAAGTTTGAGCCTAGTACCAAAAAAAAAAGAAAAGAAAAGAAAGGTCACAAGACCCTATGGGCTAACAGCCTGAGATCAATCTTGAGGTCCCCTGCTCCAGTGGGCTGCTCCTCTAGCCTCTGAGATGTGCAAAGGAGGTACTGCCCAAGTATGAGCAGCGAAAGGAGGTGCCTGTCACGCCTGTACCCCCTCATCTCTACCTCCTAGCCAGGAGCTCCCCTCTTGTCTGTTCTGTGGGAGGAGATAAATAGCAGACCCCTATTTGCATAACCCACTTGGATACTAACCTCTATCACCTGGATTTCAGCTACCTGCAGATAGATACTACATTAGGCTTGACTACAGCATCTAGCATTTGAGCTTATCCTTATGCCTTTCCAAGACCGAGGGTGGAAACAGCACAGTCCCCCACGTACCCTCTGTTGGTCTTGGGCTTATCAAACCGGAAATCTGCAGGGTAGAGATGGAGCCTCACCATGTGATCCTTCCGGTCCTGGGTGGTCTTGAATTTCTCAGGGCAGCCTTCAACCAAGCACCGGTACTAAAAAGAACAGTATATCACTACCTTGGCCCTAGCCCACACTATGCATGTGCCCAGGCTGTTCCTGCCACATACCATGTCTTGTCTTTCTGCCAGGATCTGGAAGAGTGAATCGTGCCACTCCAGAATGTGGGCATCTAGCAAGTGCTCAGAGGGGAAGGCTCGGCTACACAGTGAGCAGGCGTTCCCGTGCATCATATGGTAGTGGTGCTGGTAGTCTTCCAGAGCAGCAAACACTTGGCAGCAGCCTGCCACCTGACAGGTGAACTCGGGCACCCTGGGAAAGGAGACTTGTCTCACCACAGCCAATTAGAGCAGGACTTTCTTCCCAGATGACCGTTAAGAAGCCCGGTTTAACCCTGGGAGTGTCCTTACAGTCCTAATCCCTACTTTTTCTGGGAGGACAGGGTCCTGCTATGTAGTTCAGGCTGGCCTAGAACTCATTGTGATCCTCCTGCCTCAGCCTTGCAGAGTGCAGTCATGCGCCACCATGCCTGGCCTAATCCCTATTTCTTTAAGAATTAAAATTTCCACAAACATAATTCGTTGAGAAGCCAGCCAAACTAAGATTGTATTTTGTTGTAAACAGCAGGGCAATACCAAGTGCCTGCACCCCGAGGTCTGCCTCCAAGGAATCTGAGCCTTGCGCTGCAAGTGGCAGCCCCAGGAGCGGCCGAGGGGCGGCACCAGGGAAGAGGTGCGGGTTGAGCTGCTTACCTGGACTTCTCCGGTTCCTCGGCCACCTGGGTAAGCACATCCTGCAGGTACAGGTGCCGCTGCACGTCCCCGTCCTATATCAGACAAGTGCCACGTGCAGCGCTCGGGTCTAGAACCTCGGCCTCACAGTGTTAGACCCCAGCCTGCACTCAAGAACCCCCAGCTTGCGCTCCGCCCCTGGCGAACCCACAGCGTTACATCACGCCCTCCGGGACAAGTGCACCCACCGCGTCAGGCCTGGACCCCCGCCGCTGAGCGCTCCCACACGCTCAGGCCCCGCCGCCAGCTCAGACTCCGGCGTCCCACAGACCGCCGCTTTCCTCCGCCTTAACGCACTCACCTCGAAGAACTCGTGTTCCCTCGGGAAACGTACCAGACGCGGTAGGAAGCCGAAGGGCGACGCTCGGGCCGCGGGGTTCCGCTCCACGGGCAGTGGCTCGGCTGCCCCCGGCGCCCCAGCCAGGCGTGCCCGGAGCGTCTGGGGGAGCAGCATCACCCTGGGCACCGGCGGAGCAGCCTGTCAGCCACCGTCCAAGGGGCGGGGCCGGACGTGACGTCACGCGCTTCCGGTAGAGGCGCGGACGGGGCGCGGCTGGCTGCGGTGAGTCTGCTGGACCCTGGGGCCGGAATCTAGCGCGTGAGGTGGGTTGCAGAGTCCTGGTGGGAGCGTCAGGGCGGGGCAGGTCCTAAGGCCTTGAGGCTGGAGGGGACCGGCCTTAGGGTGGGCGGCGGAGAGTCTGGCGGGTCCGTGAGCGTCTTTTCCCGCTCTCCGCTCCCGCCTGTTCTGCAGCCACTCGGACCAGAAGCAAGCGCCCGGCTCACCCCCAGCGCTTGTACCCGCTGGATCCGCCCGACTCTGGCCTTTTCCAGCGTCTTATATAGTCGCCCACCCGGAGTCGGTGGTCTTTGAGAAGTTCCGGTGTGGGGGACCCTTTTCTCCTTACAGTCCAGAGCCCCAGGCCAGCCTGTGTTGGGCTCTGCCTTTCTAGTCTCCTGCACCGGGCCGCAGCAAGTGCTCGGTGTTCAGGGCTGAAACGCTTGGGAGCGGTTCTTGCCACTCAGGAGCCCGCTGCTGCTCAGGAGAGACAAGTGTCAGAGGAAACCTTTTCCTAGTCAAAACGGCTGCTGAGGACACCGGGAGGGCCTAGCGATTGCGATCTTCAGGGGAGCACGGGCACCTGGATTGAGCGGGGCTTGTATGCATATGTGTGCAAACTGAAGGAAGAGAAGTCGCTGTTTCCTTAGTGGATAAATTAAGACTTTTTTGTCGTTTCTACCTTAGATATGAAGGTTTGTGACCATGTCCCAAATCAGTCATTTTTAGGCCTAGAAGAGCTTCAGTACAGTCTTTTTTGTGTAGCATGAGTTCTTGACATTTCACAAGTTGTAAAATAATGTTTTTTCAGGCCATTTTATCCAGTTCGCTTGGAGCTTTCAAAGGACCTTCTTCACTTCCCTCCTTGTTTTAACCACTGTTCACTGGGGGTGTGCAGCTAATAATTTGTTCGTGGTGGAATGTAACCTATACCCGATAAGTTCTGTCCAATCATGGACATCTCTGGTGACTGATAGAAATAGGAACTCAGGAGCATCAAAAAGGTCCTTACAGTAAGCTGTAGCAGTTGATAAAACTTGTTCACAACTGTGCTCTTCAGCGAGGACGCTGGTATTTTGGCTGTGAGAGGACATTCGTGTAGACAGCATACTGGCCCGTGCACTCAGTCAAGAGCACCCTTTCAGTTACTGTGACAACCAAGAGTTGTCCCAGGCTATTTGCAGAGGTTCTAGGAGAGATGCTCCTTGAGAGCTGTCTTCTTGTAGGAATTGCCCCCCAACTCAGGCAGAACAGGATTAATACTTGTGGGAATATCTGAGTGTTTGTTTGCACCTCAAAAGTTTCCTGAAGACAGTTTTAAAATAAGTACCCAATTAGATGATCTTTCCTCAGGAATAGCTCTCATATATATGATGTAGGGTGCTTTGTGTTGGTGAGAACTTGCCTGGCCATCTAACTTGACCAAAATACAGAACAATTTGCAGGCCTCTGAAAGCCTTATAGAATGTGGATTTAAAAAAACAAACAAACAAACAAAACTGGTTGCCCTTGAATTCAAGAAGTGTGTGGAGAAGTTTCATATGTCTTTCTGCTTTCAAGTAGTTTATGGTATCTCATTTAAGGGCTCCTTATAACTCATAAGAAGGTAACCGTCAGTTTAAGTCTATTGATTCAGGCCCAATTTTCCTTTTGTAAAACCAGAATAAATATTTACAGGTGGTTGGCTTTTGTAGTAACAGTAACAATTGTTTTTCTGGCTTTCCTACTTACAGTAGAACAGAAATTTATTACTTGATTCCTTTGGTACTTTATAAGAAGGATTTTTGAGTTGAGCATGGTGGTGCATGCTTATAATCCCAGCACTCAGGAGGCTGAGGCAGAAGGATCACTGCTAGCTCGAGCTCAAGGCCAGCCTTGGCTACATAGTGAGTTCAAGACCAACCTAAACTACATAGCAAGACCCTATCTAAAAAAGAAAAAAACAATAAAAATAATGATTTTATTTAATCTCTACAGCAGCTCAGCAGGGATATACAATATTACTCCCCCTCTTCAGTGGAAGCTTACAGAGGACAAGCTCCTTCCTTGCCCAGGGGCCACAGCACACAGGTGGCTCTCAGGGTCAGATTGCCTGATACTCCATAGCTCATGCTTAGGTGGTCTTGAATTTCTTTCTTGGATGTGATGAGTGCCTCTTAATTGGAAAGTGTCTGTGCTGGGAACTTGAGCACCAGTTCAGGCTTATCCTTCTGCTTTCATTCATGAAAGTACCTGCCTTGACCAATGTGAAGGTTTATATGCCAAGAAATTATTTTCCATCATACAGGGTTAGGGTGTAGTGCTTAAGGTCAAGTTCCAAGATGATATTGTGTAGTGAATTCACATACTCAGGAGTGTGTAGTGAGTCCCCTATTCTTGAACTCTGTTTAACTCATGGCTTGTGTTAACACTGTGTCAGCCCAGTGATTCTTGACCTTCCGTAAGTCACAGAGCTTTTGAGAATTTGTTGCAATACCATGTCAGAAAATTCACAGATATAATTGGTTCCACCTAATTTCCAGAGATTCTGTTACTTGTGGATCTGAAATTAACCCTTGTATAGGTATGAGATATCACTGAAAAACACATGAATATTTTAAATTTTTAAAAATATGTTACAGTAAAAGACTATTGCCATTAATCCCCCTTAAATGCACTCCCTCAGTTTGAACACATTTATCCTCTCATTCTTGGCATTTTCTGAAGCAGTTCTAAAAGTCCTCTTTCGTGAGTGCCTTTATTTACACTGAAGAGCTGTTATGTTGCCTCGTTTCAAAACATTTACCTTTTGTGGTCATTTTGACTTTGGGGAAGAGCCAGAAGTACCATCATGCCAGATCCAGTACACAGGCACATGAGGGCACGCTGTAATGTCTTTACCAGCCTGCCTTTCTGTTGGGTGACACTTGGCAGCAGCTTTCACTGTATTTTGAATCACTTCTTATAAAAACATAAAAGAGGACTTCTAGAACTGCCTCAGAAAGTGGCAGGAGCAATGGGATAAGTGTGTTCAAAGTAAGGAAGTTTTTTTGTTGTTTTTGATACTGGGGATGGAACTTGGGATCTTGCGCTTTCAAGGCAGGTGGCAGCACCAGTGAGCTAAATCCAAAGGAAGAGTATTTTGAGGGGGATTGGTGGCACTGTACCTTGGACTGTAATGATTTTTTGTGGGGGAGTGTTGAGACACTCATTATGTAGCTGAGACTGACCTGGAACTCACTATGTAGCCCAGGCTGGTCTCAAACTCACAGTAATCCTCCTGCCTCAGCCTCCCAAGTGCTGGGATTACAGGCATGCACCACCATGCCCGGCTACTGTAATGATTTTTTGTGGGGGAGTGTTGAGACACTCATTATGTAGCTGAGACTGACCTGGAACTCACTATGTAGCCCAGGCTGGTCTCAAACTCACAGTAATCCTCCTGCCTCAGCCTCCCAAGTGCTGGGATTACAGGCATGCACCACCATGCCCGGCTACTGTAATGATTTTTAATGTAAATATTTGCCACATATTTTGATCACATCTCATATTAAGTTTATGTGAAGCTCATAAAATTTGCTTAGGCCTATTTTTGAATCAATGGCTAATGCCCATATATATTTGTATTAATGGCCTTTATCAGCACTCCTGAAAATGGCTGACTAACCCAGATGTCAGTGGTAGAGTGGAAGTCTGTGCAGTTGGCTGCTGTCCACTAGGACATTAGTTAAGAACTCTTTATGCTATTTTGGTGTCCCCTAAGGTAAGGTTTTGGTCTCAGAAATTTTTGAGTTCAATGACAGACTCTAGTACATACCAACTGACAGGGCAGACAGAGCTGTTGATGGAGCCATCCAGCTTGGGTGCATAATGAATGTTCAGAAATCTACTAAACATTGTAGTAGTTAGGCAAGTCTGAGCCAGGAAAGAAGACATTCCAGGTTCCTGAGTGCAGTAAGAATGCAAAACTGGAGCTGTGGATGGAACTGTTGCTGAATAGTTCAGGGTCTGAGAACTGGGCATGGCCTCGGGTTGGAACTTACTTTAATATCTGTGTAGGGTTAGGTGCAGTAGCCTCAGCCCATGTAAACTCCCTGTGTAGGTCCTGGGCCTTCCAGTAACAGGGCCACTGTGTCTGTCCAAGTTGGACCAGGAAGCTCTGCCCACAGCCACTGAAGCAGCAAAACAGCTTCCTCTTGGCCCAGGACCACCTATGGATGGAGTCACCTAGCAAAGGAGAGGAAGGCCTGTGGGGACCTTTTATATCACCCATTTGGAATGCTCCCTAAGCTTCAAAGTGGGCTGGGAATGACTGATGATAGAAGCCAGGACTCTGGGTCTGAAGAGGTATGCCCTGGGGTATGCCATAAGGATAGCTGGTACACAGCAGAACGTCCCTGAGTCAGAGGCAGCAAGGGAGCAGACAGCTACAGGAAGGTGGAGGTTAGGCGGGCCTGATAATAAGTCCAGAAACTGGTCAAATTTGATTGTTTTAAGTTTTTGTGTAGGGTTTTAAGTTTATGGACATCTAGAGAACTTTTACAGGAAAACTTTCTGATGTTGATGTCTCAGGGCTAAAACCATGAGTGAATTTCGGATTCACCATGATGTCAATGAGCTGCTCAGCTTGCTGCGCATCCATGGGGGCGATGGAGCTGAAGTCTACATTGACCTGCTGCAGAAGAACCGGACTCCGTATGTTACAACAACTGTCTCTGCGCACAGTGCCAAGGTGGGTGACTGTCTCTGGTGAAGGCCCGGGGTAGGAGCCTATCCCTGGTGCAGGGTTGTGTGGGGTGGCTGTTGAATGTGTGGGGATCATTGCCAGTGACTGAGGCCAGTGGCACTTATCAGATTTTCCATGGGCCAAGTACATGTGCACTCCACTCTGTGATTATCCTGACTCCTGGTAGCAGCCACTGTCACTGACTCCATTGTACAGGCAAGTCAGTGAAGGCCAGGCAGGTCTGCTTTGATCCCCGAGTTACACACTCATTTGTGTCCCCTAAGAAGGGAACTCACAGACACACAGATATTTCTTGAGCTAAGAAGGGAAGCCACTGGTATTAACTATATAAAATCCTTTGAAGCTTTATTTCTTTATTCAAATAATACATAATTCAGAATTCTAAATCTTCAATAAAAGATGGATTTGAATTTGAAATTTATTTCTAAAATACTTATTGTAATGCTTTATTTACTTAAACAGCATAATGATGACACCAAGACAGAAAAAACTGAATGGAGTAGAATTTATGAATATATACTTTTCTCTTTTATGATATTGGGCATTGAACCCAGGGGCTTCACATTGAGATACACCCCTCCCCTTTCTGGGGCGAGTTCTTACTAATTTGCTCAGGCTGGGCTTGAACTTGTGACCCTCCTGCTTCAGCCTCTGCAGAGTGCTGTGATTACAGGCATGTACCACCACACCTGGCTCACATGCTTGTATTTAGTGTGTTGTCATGGCACATTATAAATCACTGAAGGAGACAGCCATGAGCTGGTACGTGACAATAAATTCCAGAGGGAATAGAGTCAAGGTGTGAAATGAGAGGAAATTCCAGATAGGTTTCTTTTGCGGGGGTGGGGTGGGGTACCGGGGATCGAACTCGGCAGGTGACAGAACCAATGAGCCCTGGCCCCAGATAGGTTTGACAGAACATTTAAATGAGTTGTTTTAGTTATACTTCAGAGATGTGTGATTATTTAGTTAATCTAATTTAACTCCATTTTGATTTTTGTGTTTTTCTTGAAGGTTTTTTCTAGTGCTTGATTAACTGTTGTCATTAAATCACTCACATTTGCTTTTGAGGTCAAAATTGCAGAATTTTCTCGTACTCCTGAGGACTTTCTAAAGAAATATGATGAACTGAAATCTAAAAATACAAGAAACCTTGACCCCCTGGTGTACCTCTTGTCAAAACTCACAGAAGACGAGGTAAATGCCTGTGCTGCCCTCATTACTGCTGTCACGAGAACATTGGGAACATTTTGGTCATGGCTTGGAAAAATAGTGCACAGAAGCCTGCTGGAGTGTAGATTATGCCTTACACACATTCACATTCCTTCTACCCGCCTTGCTCCCTTCATTCATCAGCCCTTCCCTGCTTCATGCCAGTAACATTTGAGCACTTTTTTTTTTTTTAAATCAGAATGAACAATATCCAGGATGGGCATAAATGTGAGAGACATTGGTAGTAGTGACTCTAGTGTTGAGCATTTTAGCTTTACAAAAATCATGCCTGACTGCTGCCTGTTTCACATTTCTCATATCATTGTGGAGGAGAGAGCAAATGACATGCTAGGTCCCTCTTCTCTGTCACTGGTGGAGGGATGCACCAGGCACGTGTAGACCACTAGCACTAGGATAGATAAGGGGATATGGTGGTTGCTGTAGCCCAGGAACCGTAGGTGGAGTGTAGAAGAAAGCTCATCTTTGAGGGCAAAGTTACCCCCATGGGTAGGTGTTTTAGTTAGGAGAAAAGCCAGGTATACACATACTGACCCCATGTGTTTTCAGACTTTGCAGTATTTGCAACAGAATGCCAAAGAAAGAGCTGAACTTGCAGCCACTGCCATGGCCAGCAGCACCAGCAGTTTTAGTGTTCCTACCACAGTGTCCAAGATGTCCGTGCAGGAGCTCGAGGAGCTGAGGAAGCAGCTCGGCAGTGTGACCACAGGCTCCACACTGCAGCAGGTACTGTGTTCACCAGAGTTCACAGAAGCAACACCTGAGGTGTGTCTATAGTTTATTAAAAATGAATCTGAGGGCCGTGGATTTAGCCCAGTGGTGCTGCACCTGCCTCGAAAGCACAAGATCCTGAGATCAAGCCCCGGTACCAGGAAAATAAAAATGAATCTGAGCCAAGCATGCTGTTGTATGCCTGTACTCCCAGCACTCTGGGAGGCTGAGGCAGGAGGACTGTTAAGTGCAAGCCCAGCCTGGGTGACTTAGCAAAACTCTCTCTCAAAATTAGAGGGGGCTTGGGATTTAGCTCAGTGGTTCTGCCACCTGCCTTGAAAGCACAAGGTCCTGGGTTCAATCTCTGGTACCAAAAAATAAATTAATAAAAATAACAAAAAATACAGTGATATATGCGCACCCATGTTTATAGTGGCACAGTTTGTAATAGCTAAAACTTGGAAACAGCCCATCTGCCCATCAGTTGGAAACTGGATAAAGAAGATGTGGTTTTTCTACAAAGTGGAATACTACTCTCCGC